GTACTGCAACAGTTACACAAGTCGCATATTGTCGAGATTCTGTGTGTGTGTGTGTGTGTGTGTGTGTGTGTTTGTCTGTTCAGAGTGCATTTTTTATTTTTGCGAAATGCAGTTTTTTATTACCTGGAATTGATTTTTCTAAATAAACTCAGAAGGACGCACATAGTTACAGATAGATAAGGCCCCTCTATGATATACTATTTTGCTAAAAGAACGCATAAAAATATTGAAATACTGCTGAAAACCTCAAAAATACCGAGATTTTTGCGTGGACAACCTAAATAAACGGAAAATATTGGCCATATCCCTTTTTGCTTTTGTAGCTAGAGCGTTTTTAATTTGTTAGGCCGACCCGAAATTATCTTAGAAAATGATTCTATGGGTATAGCTGGTTAGAAAAACAACATTTGTTTTGAAATTCCTTCTTATTTTCATTTAACTGTCCCCGATAATTAAAATGCGTTGTCAAAAAATCATTTTTCAAATTTATCATGGGGTTTATGTTATGCTCCCACTGTGACACTTGCAACATTTCGCTTAGCTTTTGAGACTTAGCTAAATTCGAAATCTGAGCACCAGTTCAAGCAACTTTGTTGGGAAAAGCAGTGCGAAAAGGAGATTTAGGTTTCAGTTTCAAATACAATTAACAATTTCCAGTCGCTCTTTTTTTTTAGGTGAAGCCATCATCATTTTTGGTTGAAAACCAGCAGTCAGAGACACCTCCAATTACAGCATTTCATGGCAAAGCGAAAGCATGGGGGTTGACGTCAAAACCAATCAAGCGATTGAAAATCGAAACAATAGACACATTTGATGAGGTCACATCGAATTATCTGTCATGATTTGTTCAGTTAAAACTATCTCGGATGCTTTCAGAATCGATTAAACACTATTGGATCAAGAGAATAAGCTGCAATTTCTCTGGCAGCAACGAAATGCTAAAACAACTCTAACGTTTTGGAGTTCGATGTTGAGAATGAGTTTTTGAGTTCAACGTTGAGAATAAGTTTTTCAGTTTTTCCAGGTTGAGTTGAAGGTGTGAACAACGCAAAAAAACAAAAGCAACTTTTTTAATGGAAAATCACTGAATCACAGCAAATTTCTGCCAACTTAGATGGGCTTAGTGCCATAGGATGTAGCGATGTCGTTGTATCAATACAGCGCTCGTAGCACTGTCATGACTCGAAATATTACCGATAATCGTTGTGGAAGCACTTACAGGATGAGCACTTCTCACAGTGGAGTAACTGGTCACCATGCAGAAAACCAGGCGAAAGGAGAATCCGGCGCCGAAAATGTTTCAATTTGCGTAAATGTGTTGGCGCATTGATGGAAGTCGGGGAATGTCCTAAAGGTGATTTTCCTCGGTTCTTAAGCTGTGATTGATTGGCTTTTATTAAACTGCCCTGCAAATGGCCGCTCTCAGCATTAGCCGTTCCAGACGAAGCCGAATCACTGCCTGCGGACAGCAGAGGACTTGGAGCAGCACAAGAACTACCGTTTTCGATAAATGAAAAGGAGAAGACTGAGAGTGGAGCACCACCGGGCATTGTACCAGTAGCGCAGAAACCAGAGCCTGAACTGAAAATAGTAGAAGACCGAAATGAAGCCATTTGGTCTCCATGGCCAGAAGTTTGTCAGGTGAACTTCGTATATTTTAATTTTTTTTAATCTAACTAGACATACCTAGAAAATAAAGTTTTGTACTCGGTACTTCGGTTGCAAAAAACGCTCCAAAAGTATCAAGTTTATAATTCCATAAGAGAAAAGTTAATTTATCGTCTTGTCTGTCTGTCCCTGCAAGACAACGGCCAAATAATTCTAAAATAATTGGCCAACGCACGAGCTGCCCGTGCGAAAATGCTTTTTTTGCATAGTTTCCCACAGTTTT